TAAAACAAAGCAAAGCAGCCAAGGGCAGGTGAGCTAAAGGAGCTGCTGACCAGCCACAGGGATGGCAGCTCCAGTCCTTCCCCACGATAGAGCAGCACCAGCTCTGAGCTGCCCCGGCCCCATCACCGGCCAGAGCCCTGCAGCGGGTGACTGTATGAATGAGATGGTAAGTGGCCGTGACAAAGCCCACTCCCCACCTCCCCCCTCCATTCACAAAATGACTCTTGGATTGAAAACAAATAAATGGAATGGGCAAATGGAATAACGTTCTCATTTTGGTTTAAAAAATTAAAAAATATACTATGTTTTTTGGGGGGGCGAGGGGGGGAACCCCTCTCATCCAGACAGACTGCATACTTTCAGGAACAAAGACTAGCAGGCCTTTTCTGCTTATGCCACGTTGAACGATTGAGGTCCTGATCCAGGGCTGTCACTTCAAGCACGAAGATGTAATGTTTTATTCCAATGCCCTGCCCCAGTTGCAATTCAGTTAATACCAGCATTTCCACCACTATTTCCAGAGCAAATACGATGTTTTGTTTTCTTCAAGCACACAGTAAAAGCTGACAAGATGCTCTTTGTAAGGGCCTACTTGTAGTCTTTACTTCTTGAATCCTGTGTAGTGGAGATTTGGTGTATTGCACACGTATGGAGGAACATGCAGCTAAGGACAAAGGAAGGAGGCAAGTTTTTATGCCTGTTTTTCATGTATGAGGTATAATTACCTGCATATAACATGGCAAGGCTAGTTTCCAGTTTAAGAAGTGATAGTGAACAGAGCTGATCCAAACAACTCTTTTTAAATCAGAATGCTCAAGGTAAAATACATAATGTGGACATTTGACCCGTTTCTCAGCGAGTTCCAGCAGCGAGATTCTTGGGAGCTTTCTCAATCTTTCCCTGTGATTAAAGTATCCCTCAAAATATCATTATACAACTTATTCAAAAGTGCACTGGCACAGACTGTAATAAGTTGTTAGGAATGAGGTTGAACTCCATGTCTTTAGAGCTGCTCAGAAGCATTTCAAATAAGTTCGAGACGGATGTGGTCAACGTGCTGGAGATCCATTTTGTGATGGGAAAGAATTTGTCACGAGGAGAAAAACCTCTGCATACTGAAAATACACTTTCATAATGACACAATACTAACCAGAAAATAATTCAAGTAAAAATATAGTGACTACTGCAATAGTTAGCACAGAGGGTCTTGAGCTCACACCATCACTAAGGGAGCAGTGGGCAGCCACTCCCAAGCCACAGCTGAGAGTGCTGCCAAGCTGGGAAACCCTGCTGAATGGTCTGCAGCTGGTTGTGGCAGTCATATTAAGCAGTGCTTTCCATTTTAAACTGATGGTCAACTGTGGTTTACAAAACCCATTAAAACATGACAGCAGGCTGGTGTTTCAAACCATTTGGGAGCTCCTGCTTTGTGGGCTGGGGTCCAAGCAGGATGTTGGCTCAGGACACTGGGTTCTGTTCCAGCTTTTAAATATTGCTCTTTGATCTTGAGCCCTTTGTGTCCTTTTTTTCTTCCTGCTTTTTGTCTGTCCCTTTCACCTGTTTTGCTTTCGCCTTTCTCCTGTTCTGTCTGTCCAGCACCTAGAGCAGTGAGGTTTCCTCCTGAGCTGGGGACTGCAGGTGCTTGCAGGAATGTGCTTGCAATGATGCAGGGAGCAGAGATGGCACAACACAAACCAGAGCACTGGTAGAGCTATGTCAGCAAGCTTTGATAATCCATCCCCACAGTCCTTCATTTCTAATGCTAATAACTTATTAAAGCAAATACCCTTTCATCTTCATAAGCATTTCATTCACCCACATAAAAGGAAGTAAACCCAAAAGACCCCCTTGATGACCTTTCGCTTGCCACATAGCCATTTCTTAGATTAATCCAAACAGGCTTACCTTCCCATGAAAAAAAGGCTGCACCAGGTAAACATCTGCAAAAGAAAATAAATGAGAAATGAAGGCAGGGGAAGAAGGTGGGTTTAAACTGGATAAAAGTGTTGAGACAGGTACAGCAGCTTGGCCATAAACCCCAGGTGTTCAGTTCCTGACTGCGGGCTTGCCTGGTGGATGAGTCAGACCTGACAAGCTGAAAAAAAATAACCGACTCTGAAGAACTGAGTTTACGTAATACGCTACCGAGACACCAGAGCCTTCAAAGGCACATGCTGGCTTCACTTAGATGTTTTTTAAATGGTAAACACTCCACAGCACTATGGCCCTGTCACCAGTTGGTCCTTCCCACAGCTGGGGGCCTGCTCAGGTAAGGAGGGGAGGACACTCTCCTACCCACAAACTGATGGAAACAGACCCCCCAAAAAGACTAGAAAGTTCAGCTGCGCTGCTACAAACCACAAGAAAAGCAGAGTTTAGTCTACCAGCACGTGCCGTTGAGTGTCATTTGAATTAGGAAGGCAACATGAAGCCACCTACGACAGAACCGAGGTCCACTCCCCTGGGGTCAGCTTAGCCAGAGCCCTTCTCCTGATGGAGTCTTTTCTTGGCCTCATCTTGCACCGAGCGTAACGGAGACCTCTCAGGACGCTTTAAGGAACTTGTAGGATGGGGATGGCCTGGGCAGACTGC